ATGTCCTTTTCAGAGGTCAAGGGACAGACCTAGTGAGAGTGCCCTGATGGGTGGAACTACAAAATGCAGCAGTGGAAATGCAGAAATCTGACACACTCAGAAATGTGTTGGATGCTGAAGAAAACAATGATGGTTGTAGCTTTGCAAAAGGGTAAAGACTTTGGTCAACAGCAGAGGGGCTGGCAGGTATTCCAAATAATCATTTACAGGCTGATTTTTTTCAATATTACTAATTTTAGCAAAGTTACTTAATAACTGTTTTAATATGATTTGTTTTCTGAAATAAGTTATGTTAGCATTTTGATGCAAATAGTGCCAATTTTATAGCAGAACTCCAGACAAATATAAAAGACACACAATGTAGCATTATTCAATATTATGCCCTTGAATGTATTTGTGTAAATGCACAGTAAGTACCTAACTTTGACATGGAATTAGCAAATTGCAACTCCCCGAGCGCAGAGCTCAGACTGGGAGAGGGAGAAGCAGCTCAAGTACAGTCACAATGAACCAAGCACGTTGAACGCTCATCAGTGTGATGCTTCTCCTTGAACTGTTCAGTCATGGGTTGGGGAAAGGACAAGACTTGTTACAAAACTGCAGTAAGGAAGAATCTGCTCCCTTCTCTGCCAGACAGGGCTATGCTGTGGAAAACTTTAGCAGGTACAACAGCTCCCTTATATGTACTTCATCCTTGTATTTAGCCATTTGCCTGGCATTAGACATTTTGATTGTTTTATGCTTTTAATTAAAATCTGAAAAAAAACTGTACGAAACTGAAATAACTGTTAAAGAATAAAAGTTTGCTTTATGAAGGTAAGTACTTGTGAAGTAAGATATGTATGGCTTGGTCACACAGCATATGAAATTTAAGGCAATTCCAACCTCTTCCAGCATCATATAAAAACAATAATGTCAAACACCTATGTCTGTTAGAAAAGCAACACATTCACATCCAATATAAAGAAGCAGCAAAGAACACAAAAATCTCTGTAAGCGTTCACTATTTACACCTTGTCCTTTCTATTCAAGCAATAATAAATGTGTCGTTTTTTGTTTCTTACTAATGTGCAAATTTTTTTTCTCCATCAAATCCCTAAACATAAGCATTTTTTTCTGTTAAAAACAAAAATCAACCAGCAGAAGTGCTTAGATGAACATATATTTCTATGTAAGGTGAATAAAGTACCTAACTGGGAGTAGAGGAGGGGTATGAAAATAAAAGTCCTCCTTCAGCTTCTCAATTTAAATACAATTTCAATGTACTAACTCTTTACTAACTAAAATACAGCTTTAGCTGTAATATTCACTTTGTCCTCGAAGCTGTGCCCTACAGAAAGTTTGTTGAGTCCGGTAGCTGCTGTCACACTTCCAGCCTGGAAATCGACACACGGGCAGGTATGTCTCCACTACTTGAAGTGTCTGCAAGGTGTGGCCATTAACCCATCTTCCCCAGTCTTCCAGTGCTGGCACTGCGGTGAGACATGGTTGCACCATTCTACTTCATCCACAGGATGTTCCTGGACAGACGACAGGATGAGGTCAGAGGGCAATTGAGCACCGTGTGGATGAAAGCTTTCCGCTAAGAAGAGGGAAACTTTAAAAAAAATATATAATGCAAAAATGAAGTGCAAAGAACAAGAGGGAAGGTGAGGATATGTACTTTTAATTAACGTTTGAATGTAAAATAAACCTGTACTATGAAATACATGAAACTAAGTGCTGCAGAATATGCATCATAACTGACAGAAGGTACCTGTCTTGTCTGAATACTCCTTCTTCCTGGGCCGCTGGAGACCCCTTAAAGTAGTCATTTTGTTTTCTAAAGTACTGCATGTCAGACAATTGCCATAATTACAATAAAATAACTGTTTTTATCCTTTGCTGTATCGCAGTGGTGCTGATCTACTCTAGCCTGGTTGCAGCCGCTTCCTGCATGGCAACTTTCAGAACAGGATTCCTGATGGTGATAACAGTGGAACATGCCAGTGTAATGGTGGTTCGCACTCCTGTCTTGCAGCACCAGGGTCATTGGCTTGAACCCCAGACGGGACACTCCCTGAATGGAGTTTGCATGTTCTCCCTGTGCTTCTGTAGGTTTTCTTCCACACTCCAAAGAAATGCTGGTAGGTCTCCTGTCTACACTGTCCCTAGTATGTGTACACATGTGAATTAGGGACCTTCGATTGTAAGCTCCTTAAGGGCAAGAACTGATGTGACTGTACAAAAGGTAAAGCGTTGTGTAAATTGTCGGTGCTATATGAATATCTGTATCATTGTGTGTTGAAACAGCTACAGGTGAAACTCGAAAAATTAGAATATTGTGCAAAAGTTCATTTATATCAGTAATGCAACTTAAAAGGTGAAACTAATATATGAGATAAACTCATTACATGCAAAGCAAGATAGTTCAAGCCGTGATTTGTCATAATTGTGGTGATTATGGCTTACAGCTCATGAAAAACCCCAAATCCACAATCTCAGAAAATGAGAATATTGTGAAAAGGTGCAATATTCTAGGCTCAAAGTGTCCCACTCTAATCAGCTAATTAAGCCACAACACCTGCAAAGGGTTCTCAGTCTGGTTCAGTAGGAATCACAATCATGGGAAAGACTACTGACCTGACAGTTGTGCAGAAAACCATCATTGACACCCTCCATAAGGAGGGAAAGCCTCAAAAGGTAATTGTAAAAAAAGTTGGATGTTCCCAAAGTGCTGTATCAAAGTACATTAATAGAAAGTTATGTGGAAGGGAAAAGTGTGGAAGAAAAAGGTGCACAAGAAGCAGGGATGACCGCAGCCTGGAGAGGATTGTCAGGAAAAGGCCATTCAAAAGTATTGGGGACTTTCACAAGGAGTGGACTGAGCCTGGAGTCAGTGCATCAAGAGCCACCACACACAGACGGATCCTGGACATGGGCTTCAAATGTTGTATTTCTCTTGTCAAGCCACTCCTGAACAACAAACAACGTCAGAAGCATCTTACCTGGGCTAAAGAAAAACAGACCTGGTCTGTTGCTCAGTGGTCCAAAGTCCCCTTTTCTGATGAGAGCAACTTTTGCATTTCATTTGGAAACCAAGGACCCAGAGTATGGAGGAAGAATGGAGAGGCACACACTGCAAGATGCTTGAAGTCCAGTGTGAAGTTTCCACAGTCTGTGTTGATTTGGGGAGCCATGTCATCAACTGGTGTTGGTCCATTGTGCTTCATTAAGTCCAGGGCCACTGCAGCCATCTACCAGGAGATTTTGGAGCACTTCATGCTTCCTTCCGCAGATGAGCTTTATGGGGATGCGGACTTCATTTTCCAGCAGGACTTGGCACCTGCCCACACTGCCAAAAGCACCAAAACCTGGTTCAATGACCATGGGATTACTGTGCTTGATTGGCCAGCAAACTCGCCTGACCTGAACCCCATAGAGAATCTATGGGGCATTGCCAAGAGAAAGATGAGAGACATGAGACCGAACAATGCAGAAGAGCTGAAGGCCACTATTGAAGCATCCTGGTCTTCCATAACACCTCAGCAGTGCCACAGGCTGATTGCTTCCATGCCATGCCCCATTGAGGCAGTAATTGCTACAAAAGGGGCCCAAACCAAGTACTTAGTACATATGCATGCTTATACTTTTCAGAGGTCCTATATTGTTCTATGTACAATCCTTGTTTTATTGATTGCATGTAATATTCTAATTTTCTGAGATTGTGGATTTGGGGTTTTCATGAGCTGTAAGCCATAATCATCACAATTATGACAAATCATGGCTTGAACTATCTTGCTTTGCATGTAATGAGTCTATCTCATATATTAGTTTCACCTTTTAAGTTGCATTACTGAAATAAATTAACTTTTGCACGATATTCTAATTTTTCAAGTTTCCCCTGTACTTGTAGTTTTTATCAGAAACCTGGTTGATCTTCACGTCATTCTTACCAGGGTTTATTTTAATGAAAGCTGTACATGTAAAAATATTGCAAAGAACCATGTTAAATCTTATATGAGGTTTACTAACCAGTAAAGCTACCCCGGGCCGGCGTTGGGAAGCCGGAGGTCCGACAGGCCAGCGGTGGCTGACCCCGGCCCGCTGAGATGAATCCTCCGGGCAGCCGATCCCCCTCCGCGGGGGGCGAGAACCAACGAGTCCTCCTGACGCCGGGAACGATGTCAAAATACAACAGATCAAGTACTGTCACGAGACGAGGGATGTGCCTAACCTTATGCAAATGTTGACTTTCAGAAAGTTAGTATTTGCATTACAACCTTTGTGGTCTTAGCCGACCCAGTGAGAAGATCTATTCTCACAAAACAAGGACAGTCTGGTCCTTATGATATTTACTCTCCAGCACTTAGCTATTTTATTTTTATTCCCCAGTACACTTTAACAGTGAATTATTCTACTGTTCATAGAATCAGCATGAAAAAGCAATAGCAGCACTACCAAGTCACTCCTGTTTGTTCAATGATACAGTAGTATGACATTATAGCAGATGTGCCATCATTATCCACATGATGGCACCACAGTAGCAGTAACTGATGAAGAGTTGACTATTCCCTTCTAGAAGCAGCAGACCATGCTTTCCTTTGGTTTCCCCTCTATATGTAACGCGTCAGTAAAAGAAACAGTAATATGTTGTTTGTCTGGGTTCCCTAAATGTAAAAAATAATTTATATTTAGTTAAGGCTGAACAGCCTGTAAAAACGTATACAGTGCTGAGTCTTTCCTTTCTGCTTCCTCAGCAGTGTTCATATAAAGAGAGCCCCATCACTATTTGGTGCTGGACTGACAAGATGTCTATAGGAAGCACAGAAGGGAATAAAAAAAAAAAGACTGGTCTAAAGCTAGGATGTAAACCATTTCCATGTCATGCGTAGGATAGGCAGAAAACAGGCGGTGCACACACAGACTGAGGAGGTGGTGTGAGGTAGCTGTGTGTTCCACTGAGCTCTCTTAGTGCATAGATAAGTCAGGTTCCATGGTGGCAGCTCTTCATACTGGCATTAGGTGGCAGCCTGCAGCATCTCCTGCCAGTCTCTCTCACTCTCACAAGTTGTTCGGTTCTTAAAAAATGTCTTGATCAACCTCTGAGCCTCTTCTTTTACTAAGGAGAAGAAGAGAGAAATGAATATTCAATCTAGAAAATGAGCCTCATCAACCAAAACACCCCATCTCCAATCACACTATACACTATACAATTACACTAATTGCACTATACCTGCCATCTCAGTTCAAATAAAATATCCCATCTTTAACTGCACTGTACCTGCTATCTCAGATCAAATCAATTATGCCGTCTTTAATTGCACTATACCTAGTTTATCACATCAAATAAAATACTCCACATGTAATTGCTCCATACCTGCCATCTCAGATCAAATAAAATATCCCATCTTTAGTTGCACTATAGCTGCTCTCCTAGATCAAATAAATTATGTCATCTTTAATTGCGCTATACCTGGTTTATCACATCAAATAAAATTCTGCACGATTAATTGCTCCATACCTGCCATCTCAGATCAAATAAAATATCCCATCTTTAACTGCACTAGGCTTGCTATACAAGATCATATAAAATATTCCATGCTTAATTGCACTATGTCTGGTATATCAGACAAAATAAAGTACCTCATCTTTAATTGCACTATACCTGACATCTCGAATCAAATAAAATATCCCATCTTTAACTGCACTGTACCTGCTATTTCAGATCAAATCAAACATACCAGCTTTAATTGCACTATACCTAGTTTATCATATCAAATAAAATACTCCATGTTTAATTGCCCCATACCTGCCGTCTCAGATTAAATAAAATACCCCATCTTTAATTGCACTATACCAGCCATCTCAGATAAAAAAAAATAATCCATATTTAATTGCACTATGCTTGCTATATAAGATCATATAAAATACTCCATGTTTTATTGCACTATATCTGGTATATCAGATAAAATGCCTCATCTTTAACTGCACTATTCATGCCATCTCGGATCAAATTAAATATCCCATCTTTAGTTGCACTATAGCTGCTCTCTCAGATCAAATCAATGATGTCATCTTTAATTGCACTATACCTGGCTTATCAGATCAAATAAAGTACTCCATGTTTAATTGCACTATGTCTGCCATCTAACAGCAAGTAAAATATACCCCATGTTTAATTGCACTATGCTTGCTAGATCAGATCATATACAATACTCAATGTTTAACTGCACTATGATTGGTATATCAGATCCAATAAATACCTCATCTTTAATTGCACTATGTTTGGTATATCAGATCCAATAAAATGCCTCATCTTTAATTGAACTATGCCTAGTATGTTAGATGCAATAAAATACCCCATCTTTAAATGCAGTATGGCTGGTATAGACCCAATAAAATATATCCTATGTAATATGCCTGGTATATCAGATCAGATTCAATACTTCATGTTTAATTGCATTATATCTGGTTTATCAGATCAAATAAAATACCGCATGGGGGTTGATTTACTAAAACTGAAGAGTGCAAAATGCAGTGCTACTCTTCATAGAAACCAATCAGCTTCCAGGCTTTTTTTCAAAGCTTAATTGAACAATCTGAAGTTAGAAGCTGATTGGTTTCTATGCACAGCTGCACAAGAGGTTGCACTCTCCAGTTTTAGTAAATCATCCCCCATGTTTAACTGCACTATACCAGGTATATCACAATAAATAAAATATCCCATCATAAATAAACTGTACTATACCAGGTATATCACAATAAATAAAATATCCCAAAATATACCAGGTATATCCATCATTAACTGCACTATACCAGGTATATCACAATAAATAAAATATCCCATCATTAACTGTACTATACCAGGTATATCACAATAAATAAAATATCCCATCATTAACTGTACTATACCAGGTATATCACAATAAATAAAATATCCCATCATTAACTGCACTATACCAGGTATATCACAATAAATAAAATATCCCATCATTAACTGCCCTATACCAGGTATATCACAATAAATAAAATATCCCATCATTAACTGCCCTATACCAGGTATATCACAATAAATAAAATATCCCATCATTAACTGCCCTATACCAGGTATATCACAATAAATAAAATATCCCATCATTAACTGCACTATACCAGGTATATCACAATAAATAAAATATCCCATCATTAACTGCACTATACCAGGTATATCACAATAAATAAAATAACCCATCATTAACTGCACTATACCAGGTATATCACATTGAATAAAAATATCCCATCATTAACTGCACTATACCAGGTATATCACAATAAATAAAATATCCCATCATTAACTGTACTATACCAGGTATATCACATTAAATCACAAAAATATCCCATCATTAACTGTACTATACCAGGTATATCACATTGAATACCAGGTAAAATATCCCATCATTAACTGCAGTATGCCTGGTATATTAGATCCAATAAAAAAACCCATCTTTAACTGCACTATACCTTCCATCTCAGATCATCTAAAATACCCCATCTCATAAGAGGCAGAAGGAGAAGCAACACACTGCTCTGCTGTACGCATGCTCACAGAGATATGACTGACAACACTGTACAGTGTCACTGGCTGCCACTGCTGGCCCTCCCTCTCTAGGCTGGAGTGTCACTGTGCAGGGAATTACACAAAGCTGATATAAAGACTAATTCGGGTACTTTTACTAGTCTTACCCAGAAATGCATGTAACATCTTGTAATTAATACATAACAGAATCAAGTGGTGTTTTTTTTTTTTTAAACATTTGCAGACGTGTACTGAGCCTAAAGACGGCCATACTCTGGTTAAAATTCAGCATGTTCAGCAGGGAGTGGCCAAACAGCGATCAGTGTGTGGCAATCCCATCTTGACAGAAGCTGATCGTCTTCTGTTGAAAGGACAATTTGGAAAACTTTTCTTGACCAGTGTCTACAGTGCGTACAGCTGTCAGAATACAATGGCTCGGAGGGCGAATTTCCCCATCCACCGTATTGGCGTGGATGTAGAAATCTGTTTCACAGTGTATGATCAGCTTGACCATTCAATAATCTAAAATGAAATATAAGTTTTATATGAAAAAACCCTTTAAGTTAAAGTGTTACTAAACCCACAACAGTAATATCAGTCTGTATATGCAGTAAGCATGCTTGTTATACTCACTGTGGATTGTGTAAAAATGCTGTTTGATTCTGACTTCTCTGATCCTCCCCTTTTTCCAGTGCTCCCCTCTTATCTCCTGATAAGACATATTGTGTGGAGTCACTCTGCACATGCTCAGTTTGGATTGGTTTGCTAGAGAGGGTTTTTTTTTTTTTCCTTGGGAGAGTACATGTGATCAGCACAGGGCCAATCAGCACTGTCCTGACAGAGGTCAGGGGTTCTGCAGACTCCTACAGCAGAAAGAAAACCCCTCCTACAAGCTTAAACATATGCTCTGCTGGACACTGATAGAAGTCACAAGACTGCTCTAACTGCTGATGGGAAAAGGTATTTAGCAGTTTTATATTTACTACAATAATTGCACTTCCATGTTGTGTGTACTGTGGGAGACCAGATATAGTGAATGCAGGGTCCTGGGTTTAGTAACACTTTAACATGTATTACCCTACTTGACACCATAACTTTGTATTACTGGATGTCCTGCTCTCTCAGATAACACGGGAAGTCTCACCATTTTTCCGCAGAGGTGTCTTGTTATCTCCAGCTAAGTGGTGAGATAGGTGCCTAGCGAATCCTTTAAACAGGTCCTGTTGTGAATAAATATATTTCATATTATTTTAGTGCAAATACTTGCAGTAACACTGAACTTTATTTTCACACATGTATGTTTCTCCGATAGAAGAAAAACTACAACAGCAGACCGTGATATAGAGAAGAATAGGTAAAACCCCTTGTCATTTTTTGTGTTCTGTTTACCTCCCTACAGCTGCTGAAGCAAGAAATACAATCTCCCATACACATGTTCTACATATGTTCTCATACTAAGGGCCTGTTCACATCATATGCATTGGGCTCCCCAGGCCAGCACTTCCTAACACAGCAGTGCTGTGACAGATTAGTACCAGTCCCTTCACACAGCACATCAGCGGCCATGTTTTACCATCACACTGGTGTGAACAACCCTATTGTGCACAAGTATATAGACTAAATCACATTATACTTATACAGACCTTTGAAAACTTCAATCCCATGGATGTACAGAGAATAGAACGTGCTTATATGGAGAAAGAGTGATCTCTCCATGGCTGTGTAAAATCTGGGTCTTCAAGACTGTTGTAATTTAAATTAAATACAAAATAAAATACAGTACTACCTTAGAAAACATAAAATATACTATAGTGCTCAAAATGCTGAAAACCAGATAAATATAAAGAACCAAGCTACAACTAACAATAATCCTTAACCAGTACTAAACAGTTCAAGCAAGAACCTGGAAGTGTGTGGATACAAATGGCCAGAGGAGGTCATCAAATCAGGATTCCATAGGACACCAAACACTGCATCTTGGGAAACAATCCTTCGAGTATACAGTTGTAGCAGACACAATTACAGAGCACGGAATGGTGTCAGTAAAAACAAATTCAGCCTGGGTTCATATACAGTCATGGCCGAAATTGTTGGCACCCTTGATATTTTTCCTGAAAATCAAGTATTTCACACAAAAAAGGTATTGCATTAACACATGTTTTGCTATACACATGTTTATTCCCTTTGTATGTATTGGAACAAATATAAAACAGAGGCAGAAAAGCAAATATGACATAATGTCACACAAAACCCCAAAAATGGGCTGGACAAAAGTATTGGCACCCTTAACTTAATATTTGGTTGCACACCCTTTGGAAAACATAACTGAAATCAGTCGCTTCCTATAACCATCAATAAGCTTCTGACACCACCTCTCACCCGGAATTTTGGACCACTCTTCCTTTGCAAACAGCTCCAGGTCTCTCTTATTGGAAGGACACCTTTTCCCAACAGCAATTTTAAGATCTCTCCACAGGTGTTCAATGGGATTTAGATCTGGGCTCATTGCTGGCCACTTCAGAACTCTCCAGCGCTTCTTTGCCATCCATTTCTGAGTGCTTTTTGACGTATGTTTGGGGTCATTGTCCTGCTGGAAGACCCAGGATCTTGGACGCAAACCCAGCTTTCTGACACTGGGCCCTACAGTGCGACCCAAAATCCTTTGGTAATCCTCAGATTTCATGATGCCTTGCACACAGTCAAGGCACCCAGTGCCAGAGGCAGCAAAACAACCCCCAAAACATCATTGAACCTCCACCATATTTTACCGTAGGTACTGTGTTTTGTTCTTTGTAGGCCTCATTCCGTTTTCGGTAAACAGTAGAATGATGTGCTTTACCGAAAAGCTCTATCTTGGTCTCATCTGTCCACAAGACGTTTTCCCAGAAGGCTTTTGGCTTACTCAAGTACATTTTGGCAAACTGTAGTCTTGCTTTTTTATGTCTCTGTGTCAGCAGTGGGGTCCTCCTGGGTCTCCTGCCATAGCGTTTCATTTCATTTAAATGTCGACGGATAGTTCGCGCTGACACTGATGCTCCCTGAGCCTGCAGGACAGCTTGAATGTCTTTGGAACATGTTTGGGGCTGCTTATCCACCATCCGGACTATTCTGCGTTGCAATCTTTCATCAATTTTCCTCATCCGTCCACGACCAGGGAGATTAGCTACAGTGCCATGGGTTGCAAACTTCTTGATAATGTTGCGCACTGTGGACAAAGGCAAATCTAGTTCTCTGGAGATGGACTTGTAACCTTGAGATTGTTGATATTTTGCCACAATTTTGGTTCTCAGGTCCTCAGACAGTTCTCGTCTCCTCTTTCTGTTGTCCATGCTTAGTGTGGCACAGACAGACACACAATGCAAAGGTTAAGTGAACGTCTCTCCTTTTTATCTGCTTTCAGGTGTGATTTCTATATTGCCCACACCTGTTACTTGCCCCAGGTGAGTTTACAGGAGCATCACATGCTTGTAACATTCTTATTTATCCGCAGTTGTGAAAGGGTGCCAATACTTTTGTCCAGCCCATTTTTGGAGGTTTTGTGTGACATTATGTCGAATTTGCTTTCTTTCCTCCCTTTTTTTGTTTTGTCCCAATACACACAAAGGGAATAAACATGTGTATAGCAAAACATGTGTTAATGCAATACGTTTCGTGAGAAATACATGATTTCCTGGAGAAATATCAAGGGTGCCAACAATTTCGGCCATGACTGTATATGCGGTGCGGTATATCGCATGTGATTCACACAGGAACCGCACTGCATTCCTGTGCAAATCACATGGGATTTGTGTGCGGTGCGATTGGAGCCATACATTTTGTATGGCTCTAATCGCACCGCACCAAAAAGGTGCGGGACCCTTTTTTTGGTCCGCACTAGAATCAGATTGCATGGGTATTCACAGCTATGCGATACGATTCTGCACATCGCACCGTGATTTGCGGATCGCTTTTGGGGTGTTAACATACACACCCGCAGCGGTTTGCATGAACGGGGTGCAATTCTGATGCGGTGTGGAATTCGCACAGAAACTGCTGCAAATTCTGCACCGCATAAGTGTGAACCAGGGCTTAATGATGAAGAATAAAATAGTATCCACTCAAGTTGTGTATACACTAGTAGAATTTCATTCAATATTTTTCGTTGTAGGAACGTTTGCTTTTCTAATCATTAGTGGGGTCAAATCGACATTTGTTTTCAACAGCAGTGATGAGAAAAGGAACAGGATGGAAATTTTTTTTCTGATATATGAGTTTCTAATACTGGATGTGGTTTTCCTTCAGTAAAGTCTATTCACTGCAAAATTGAATGTCAAAAGCAAACAAAATCCTGAATTACTTTGAATAACTTTCAAACGTTGTGAGAATTTTCATTACAAATTTCGCTAAGAATTTTTGTTCAGAAATCTATTGGTGTATACCCAGCTTAACACTTAAAGTGACTGTAAAGCTTTCATTTTTTTTTAAATAAAATAAAAAGCACATCATAGTTACCTACTCTGTGAAATGATTATGCACAGAGCAGCCGTGATCCTCTTCTTCTGGGGTCCCTTGCCGCTGCTCTCGAGCACAAAGCTGAACTGAGATCAGGCTCAGGTAAGTATAAGGGGGGTGGGGATCCTGTGGCACAGAAGGTTTGTCACCTTCAGGGCCGGTTTCACACTATGCTCTGATATGAACTGCTCCTGTGCAATTCATATGCGGGCCTATGCAGTGCAATTTCATGGCAATTAATTTGAATGGGATGAAATTGCACTGCACTGCGCTAAAAGTAGTGCATGCACTACTTTTTTTAAATGCACAGCAACCACATAGTATGGTACTTTGCACCATGCGGTTTAGTGCGGGCAAATGCAATGCGTTTTGCCACCTGCGTTCAAGGTGTTAAGTTTAATTGCCCCCCCCCAGCAGATCGCAAGGGCAATGCGATGCAGGAAGCCTCACACAGGAACGTGGCTCTCCCGCACTGCATTCCAGTGTGAATGAACACTAAAGCATAGAATGCATTAACCACTTGCCCTCCAGAAGATTTACCCCCCTTCCTGACCAGGCGCTGCATTACTTTGATAATTGCACTGTCATGCAATGCTGCACCCAAATGAAATTTATCTCTTTTTTTTTCCCCACAAATAGAGCTTTCTTTAGGTGGTATTTGATCGCCTCTGTGCATTTTGTGCTATAAACAATAAAATACCGACAATTTTGAAAAAACAAACAATATTTTTACTTTCTGCTATAAAACATATCCAAAAAAAAATTTTTAAAAATTAAATTTCTTCCAAAAATTTAGACCAAAATGTATTCTGCTACATATGTTTGGTAAAAAAAAAACCCAATAATTGCATATTGATTAGTTTGAGCAAAAATTATAGCGTCTACAAACTATAGTACATATACTCAATTTATTTTTAAATTTTTTTTTTATCTATACTATTAATGGCGGTGTTTAGAGACTTATAGCGGGACTGCGATATTGCGGTAGATATTTTTTTATACTAAGTGACACCTTGTGGGGACCAGTGACACAAATACAGTGATCAGTGCTAAAAATATGCACTGACACTGTTCTAATGACACTAGCTGGGAAGGGGTTAACATCTAGGGTGATCAAAGGGTTAATTGTGTGCCTAGCTATGTGCTTGGTGTACACTAGGTGGTGCTTTTTACTAGGGGAAGTGATGAATCATGTTCTCAGCTCTGCAGAGAGAAATGATCTCCCATCACAACAGTGTGAGGTAAACATAGCCACAGCTTTGTTCTTCTTGAAGGACGATCTGCAGGTGTGCGCGCGCCCCCGTGTGGCGGGAGTGCAAAATGATGTTTTTTTTAAATGTAATTTTGCACAGGAATGCACAGTAAAACTTCTAAAGGGCAGAGGGAAAGTGGTTAACGTAAAAAACCTTAAGCTTTTTCTCACACTTGAATGAGAGATTCCTTTTGTCCTGTTTGCTGTTATCATCAAAAGTGAAAGTAAAAGAAAACCCAAAATTTGGGGTAATAGGACAGTAATAGCAGGGAAATCTTCCAATGGAGATATTCGTTCTGGTGACCCGGGGAACCCCAATGGATTCCCTTAATTTGCAGGGATTTCCTCTCATTTCCTGCTTTTTTGCTATGGGACACAAAGTGAAAGTAAATCTCCACAATGAGACACAAATGTACAAAAAAAACTAACAGGGGTTATAACCCTCTCTTACTCTATCCAAAATAAAAAAAAAATATG